ACTGTCTTCGTATCCAAGCAGTCAAAGTCTCCATTCCAGGACCACCCATGTCACCTCCCCAGCATGGTGCTTGGACGCAGCCTCTTACCTGTCTCTGCATTTCTTCAATCTGTCTTTGGGGTATGCTCTACAAAATGCTGTACATATCTGACATCTTTTCTTCCGGTACAACTACAGATGCTCTGGAAACAACAGCAAAACAATTGACGTCACACAAGTCTTTACAGGAAGCATCTTGTTTCAATCTCCCAAGTAGAAATAATACCCCAAGCCTCCTTCACCCCATGTCCCTTCCAGTGAGCATGCTCTCTCCCATTCCTTTCTCATGGCCGAACTTCTCACAGGAGTTCCCTCAACAGCTCCATTCTCTTACCTCCCACTCACGACTCCATGTATCTTTCATCCTGCCTCCACTCACTGGTGTTCTCTAACCATGTGGTATGCTTTCAGTCACCTGAACATCCCGTGCTCTGACCTACCACAGGGCCTCTGCATGTCACATTTCACCTGCCTGGTAAACTCTTCACTCCCTTTCTAAATTAATGCACACTTTTCTCCTTTAGCTATCTATTCCAATCTACTCATTTGCTTGACATATACTTATGGAGGTCCTATTGCGTGCCAGGCCCTGGGAACACAACAGTGAACAAATCAGACATGTAAGGTAAGGCAGCAAGCAGGCCATGAGAATGCCTGAGGAAGTGCATTCCAGGCAGAAGGACTCTCACAAGAGCGTGCTCCTGAGGAACCAGCATGGTGGGCGTGTTCCAGGAGTGCAGAGAGGCCAAGGGTCTAGGAAGAGTACGGAGACGGAGAACAGCAGGAGGAAAGAAGCAGCAGGGCGGGAGGGTCACCATGAACCACAGAGGACCTGGGAGGCCACTGAAGGACCTGTGCTTTTCTTGGAGCCGGGCAGTCATTAGCAGGTTTTGGGCAAAGGCACCATGTGACCCGTCGTGTTCCAACAGGATCGTCCTGTCTGGAGTGCTAGAACTACAGGAAAGCAAGAGCGGGAGCAAAGGGAGCAACTGGAGACACTGCAAATGCCAGGCAAGAGACGTTGATGACCGAGAAGCTGAGTGAAGGGATGAGAGGGCGGAGCCCACGGGATTTGCTAACAGATGAGATATGGTGGGTAAGAGACAGACAGGACTCAACAAGCACTTTTCCTCTATGACATGCAGCAGAGTTTATCATCACATTTGCATAAATTAATTTATTAAAATCTCCACCTCACTTCCACCAGCAAGGCCAGTCCGCTAGGACAAAAAGCATGCCTGGCTCCCCTCACCAGCATGTCCCCGGCACCTGGAATGCTACTGCCCAGCACACGGTTAGCACACAATGAACAGATGCAAACAAGCAAATGACTTCTACTGTGCAAAGAGAAAAGCTGAGTCTCAGAGAGACCAAATCCTTCGTCAAGATCACAAAGCCAGCCAGCAACAGAGCTCGTTATCTGAACCCAGGCCTGAGGACTTCAGCTCCGGAGTTCTCTGACCCATAATCACCACTACCCAAGCAGACCTAAACCCTCACAGAAACCTCCCTTCAGGTGAGACCAAGTGCACTCAGGACATATCCTTTCAGACTCACTTAGAGGCACCGTCTCTGGGAAGCCCTCTCCAATCACCCTGCCAACAATGGTGTGTGATTCCCTCTCCCTCTCCTTGGGGGTATCCCTTCCAGTCAAGGCTGCATCCCATCACAGGAAGTGGTCACTGCTGGCTGGCTTCTCTATCTTCCACCACTAAACCATGAGCTTCCTAGAGGAAAGGTTTGGCCTTGGTCATCTTTGTTTCCCTCCATCCTGTCTGACACAGTGTCTGTCAACAGAAGGTGCTCAGGAAATGTTCTCACAGGGAGAGGAATGCTGGAAGTGACTTACCACTTTTTTTTTTTTTTTGAGTTGGAGTCTCACTCGGTCGCCCGGGCTGGAGCATAATGGCACACTCACGGCCACCCCAGCATCGACCTGCTGGACTCCAGCAATCCTTCCGCCTCAGCCTTCCAAGTAGCCTGTGGGAACTACAGGTATGAGCTACCACACCTGGCTAATTTTTTATTTATTGTAGAGACGAAGTCTCGCCAAGTTGCCTGGGCTGGTCTCAAACCTGCGGTCTCAGGCAATCCACTTGCCTCGGCCTACCAAAGCACTGGGATTGCAGGCTGAGCCACCGAGTCCAGCCTGGCTCATCACTTCTAAGACGGAAAGAGTAACCACTCCTCTTCCAGGTGGAAGCAGGCTTCCCCTTCTCTGGGCCTTCACAGGCCCTGTGCATGCACCAGCTATGGCATTTGCCACAGAAGATTGTAACTGTGAGTTTGTCTTCACTCCCTAGAGTCTAGGCATCTCAGAAACAGAGACTCCATGTGATTACAACAGGCTTTCCAAGCAATGTGAGATGAACGAGTGACTTGGTGCCATTTAAACTGTTCGGACACCTGTGGTGATCAGACTTGGACAGAAATATCAAAAAAGTTGGGGGAGGAGAAAGTAATTAAGCACTGAGGCAAGGATAAGACTGAGAGGTGTATACAAATTAATTTTCAATACTCTTCAACCTCCAAAGTCTTGGAAACACGAAACACAAGAATAGAGGGCTATTCTGCTCATTACAGTACTAACAGCCAGCACCAAGCAGAATCTGTTTGGTTCCATCCGTATACTGGGAATGTTTCTAAGCTTTCATCCATGTGGAAGCTCTCCACTCCAGCTAGTACCTTATGCAAATTCAACAGTGACTCTAGACCAGTAGTTCTAGACTGTGGCTACGAAAAAAAAAATTACCTTGGAGTGAATTCAACAGAGACTCTAGACCAGTAGTTCTAAACTGTGGCTACGAAAAAAAAAAATTACCTGGGCATGGTGGCTCACGCCTGTAATCCCAGCACTTTGGGAGTTGAGACAGGAAGACAGCCTGAACCAAGAAGCTTGAGACCAGCCTGGGCAATATAGTGAGCCCTCTTCTATACAAAGAATTTAAAAATCAGCCAGGAGTGGTGGTACGCACTAATAGTCCCAGCTACTCAGGAGGCTGAGGCAGGAAGCTGAGGCTCTGATGACTCAACCCTGCCAATGGGGCAGGACAATAGCCAGACAATATGTAAATGAAGAGGCGTGGCTATTTCAATAAAACTTGATCTACCCAAACAGCCAGCCAACAAATCTGGTCCACAAGCCTCAGTATGTGAACTGTTCTAGGCCAGTGTACTAACTCTCCTGATGGAAAATAGAGCAAAACAGTCCAAGGTAGTGGTTCTCAAACCTAGGTAGACACTACAATACCTGACACACACAGCGGTTCGTTCATACCTGTAAGACTTGAAAAGCTTCACTGGCTGCAATGTTTTATATTTCCACTGACCAGTGTTACTTCAATGCCACCACTGCTTGCATTCTGAAAACGTTCAAAACCAACATCAAAGTCTTGCCCTGGGCATTCAACATGAGACTTCCTGCAGCGGGCTTCCTTTGTCCTCACGTACTATGTAAACACATCGTGGCACACTTTCTGAACGTCGCTTACATTACTTACCTCAGCCTATCCTGTGAGGAAATTGTTTTGTCTGGGAATTTCAGGCTCTCTAGTGGACCCCCTAAAGGGGAGGCATCAAGTCTCTTCCCACCTTTCTACTCCCCACAGCATCTAGCATGTGCTTGGTGTACAGAGGTTCATTTCATGAACCAACACCTTTGAAAAGACATTAAGACTGACATGTTCTATTTAGAAGCAGTAAATTTAACAAAAGCAAAATCTCAAATGATTTCTTACTCATTCACCCCATTCAGCCCCCTCAATGTGAAAAATACTTGGGAAAGAGAGAGATGTGCCAGAGAAAAAACAGCAGCAAGAGGTAGACCAAAATAAGGAGAGACCTTAATTCTCTAGCACTCGGCTTCTCCCAGTTTTTGCCTCTTCGGAAGGTGAAAACGACAACAAAAAACTACTGTCTAATCTTTAAGAGAAAAGGAAAACTCAGAAAAATTATCAAGAAACTCAAGATTCCAAACTTCTCCGGGGACAAATGAGAAAGGCTGCAAGAGTGGAGGGAGACGGGCCGCCAGGCGCCTGGAGGCACAGGTGGCACGTTCTGCCTGACCTCAGAAGTCGGCATCCAGATGGGACACACATGCTGATAGCCATTTTTCTGGTCTAGACAAAAGTTACTATAAATACTCCTGCTCATATCACCACTGTTACCAGTCAGACATTCCAGAGGGAGATGCTGCACTTTTTGAGAGAAAGTATTCTAACAATCTCAGATGGGCCAGCTCTCTGGAGGTCCAAAAACAAAAAACAAAAAAATTACACCAGCTCCTCGATACACCTCCTTGAACTAACCTGGCTGCCTTTTAAATATATAAGTGAACAAAGCTCCATTTCTCATTCCCATCCCCCATCCACTTGGACTGCCAACTATCCTGCTTATAAGACATCCCCAGAGGGACTGCAGTGCCTAAGGTTATGAAAGCCACCATTCTCATGATGTAAATAAAGGACATGCTACTGGTGGGACATGCAAAGGGTCGCAAGAACACCCAAAACCAAGAAAACAAAACAACTGAAAGCACTCCACTCCCAGGAAAGTTGCCTATGGCCTTGGAGGCCAGCATGGTCAGGGGATGCAAGTTGGCACCTTAAAGAACATTTCTCAGGACTGGTTTATAAATACAGGGGTAAAAGCAAGATATATGTGCCTACTTTGTGCAGCGTCTTAGCAAATCTGCTGGATCTGCATTTTTGGAGTATAATGCCTATTTGAAAGGCTTATAAACTCTCTCAGACCAAGCAGCTTTGCGTGAATACACAACAGCAGACATCCAGGCACCTAAAGGTCTAAGTGTCCAGTGAAGAGTGATGCTACATTTTCTTCCCCGCTGGGTTACTCTAGCTGCATGTGAAAAACAACTTGGGTTTGCCAGAGTCAGTTTTACCCTGTAAAAGCAACATTCACTGAGCCTTCACTGAGCCTTGAGAAAGACAAGTGACACTCACCTGTAGCACTTGGGGGTAACTGAAGATCTGGTATTTATGGCAACGCTTGCAGACAGAAAGGACACCCTCTGAAAGGTTGGTGCATTTATCCAGTACTAACATCGACTCGCCATGTTTGGTCTGGAGGGCTTCTAGATCCTCTCTGTACTCAGGACGGAGAACCGTCTGAGAGGACAGGAGGAAGTGTCACCATGGACTGCAAGGGAAAAAAACAAATATTGGAAAACTGCAGCAGTCTGCTGGCTGAGGTAAGGTAAACGTCAACATTAAACAATAGCAGTAAGTGTTTCCTCATCACTATTCATATCCACTGATTTTTTGTGTGTGTGGAAATTATCTTCTGTAGCATTATAAATATTTAAAATATTACATGCTGTAAGACAATGAGGTGTGATTCATTCACATGCTGAAATACTATGCAGTCATAACAAATTTTATTTAGGAACAATTCTCACTGTGGTAAGGAAATGCACATAGCATGCCAAGTTCAGAGAGCATGCTATAAACATAAATACATTTGATTATGTCTGGAGAGAGAAATTGGTAAGTCTATCGATTATCTGGAAAGAACACCAAAACATCCTCGTGAGCTGTAGCTGTGTCTCTGATCTGAAAGGAACTGAAGGCTGGCTACGACTTTCAAACAGAGACAGCAAGAGCTTGATGGCCAGCTCAGGCATCCGACCCAAGAGCTGCAGGAATGATGCCCTGATTGCTAAACAGCTTCCGGACACTATTGAGAGGCTCCAGGAAAGTCCTCGTCACCAAGGCCACAGGAACAGGAGGGAGACCTAACTGGCAGCTGAAAACAAGAAGAGGAAATACTGTCTAACAAGCACTCTCTAACTGAGAAGGCCATCTTCTCTTGAAGAGCAAAGCATGGAGCCACCAGTCTTAGCATCTGGATGGTAAGGGTGTGTAAAGGCAGACAGAGGGCAGAAAGGATTCCTAAGCATCTATGTCATGCAGGTCTCCATAAGGGACAGAGATGGGAATACAAAGTCAGCAAGCCTGAAGAAGAGAGGAAGATTCTGGAGAGGCCAGATGACAAGGCAAGACTGAAAGGCAAGCCTCCCCAAGGCAGAGGGTATAGAGCATGAAGGCTACACAGACTGCACATCCCACGTCCGAAAATCTGGAATCCAAAATCCAAAGCTTTTTGGGTATCACACGACACTCAAAGGAAATGCTCATTGGAGCATTTTGGATTTCGATTTTTCTGATTCGGGATGCTCACCCAGGAGAATAATGCAAATACTCCAAAACCCAAAAATATCCAAAATCCAAAAGCTTCTGTCCCAAGAATTTCAGTTAGGGAAGAGTCAACCTGCATAGGCTGAGGGACCACTAGAAATCACCATTACAGTGAAGACTCGTGTAAAGCAGGCTCCAGGAAGAAAGGAAACACTCAGGAGACCTAGACGCAGTATTCAAATCCAGTTCAAACTGGTACACCCAAGGAAAACACTAGGGCTATGTATGTCATCGGCAATGCTGCCAGGCAATTTACGATGCGGTCCGAAGGACCAAAGACCCATAGTCTTCCTGTCTGGTTTGTTTTGTTTTGTTTTGTTTTTTAAGAAAGGAAGGGTGATGGTTACTTTTCCTTAGTTGCTTAGACTTACTTGGAGGCTCTAGCTGGGGCCCACCTTATGGCAGCATGGGGACCACCCATGGCCAAAGAACAAGCACTCTCTAACTGAGAAGGCCATCTTTTCTCGAAGAGCATAAGCTTCAGGTCCCAAACCCAAAAAGCACTGAGTGAGGAACACCGCCTCACCAGCCAGAGAGCAGGGCAATGCACTCCGCACTCGGGTAGCTGGTCAGTCCTCAGGATCACTGCTTCTGGTGATGTCCTTTCTCAGCTGAACTAAGAGCAAAAGGGCATTTTCCCACATCACAGTTAAGAAAACAAGGAACTGGCAGGTTTCTAGAATTTACTGTCCTACAGCAAGGAGCCTCAAGGTCATATAAATTTAAACTAATTAAAATTAAGTAAAATTAGATGTTCTGTTTCTCCACCACACTAGCCCACTTCCAGTGCCCAGCAGCCCATGTGGCTAGTGGCCACCTGACATGAGACCACGTCTTCACTGCAAAAGTTCCACTGGGTGGCGCTGCCCCAGGAGGTGGCCAAGACCCAGAGGCCAAGGTAAGGGTAGGTGGAAATGAGAACCACACAGAACAGCAGCCCAGCGGGGACATGGTTTAGATCAGCTGTACAGACTGCTTCCTTTTTCCCTGAATTTTCTCCATGGAACAGAATGCAATCCATGGAACAGAATGTTGGATATTTATGGCCAAGAGTATTCTAGATACTGAAAAAGACTTTGGATTCTACTCTCAGCTCTGAGCAATAGTTTATCTTCTGTAAAAGTATTAATTTTCAGAAGTAAGAGTCAGAAACAGCACCTTAACAATTAAAGCTATTCAAAAATGAAATGGACTATCTTGTAAGGTGTGAGTTTTTCAGTATAAATCAGAAAACTTTTTATTAAGTTGTTATAGTAAAAAGTCATGCATAAAGTTAGAGCTAGACGGTTCCCAAAGGTCTCTTCAATTCATAAGATCCTGGTTCTATGATTGATCTCATGGATGTTCCCGGAGTCTTTCTGTTTGAGAAGAGCTGATAGCACAAAGCTTGAGCTCCACACTGCCCAGAGTAAGAATAAACATGTGGGCATCCAAGAGGGGTAAGAGGGTGTCCATGGACACCAAGAGGGGTAAGAGGGGTGGGGAGGTGCAGAGTGCTGGAGTCCCAGAGGGAAGAGGAGTCTCTGCATGGCAGGTGCAGGGAAGAGTGGGCACACCTGGAATGCCAAAGCCCTAGTGGGGTGGGGGCTTCTACTTGAGGAACAAGCAGGGAAGTGGCACAGGCTGTCAGAGTCCTAAGGAGGGAGGAAGGCTTCTGCGCAGGGGGCAGGGGTATGGGGCAGCTGTGGCAACCGAGCATGGGATAAAACAGAGACCAAGCAAGGTTAGGAGAGCATCTGAGCAACCCAGAACAAAGTGTTCACGCCTGAGAGCCTCAGTTGTGAGGAGGAGATAGCAACGGTAGGATCATCCCAGCATCACAGCCCAAGAAGTACGAGGAGGGTATCTATGCTGGGGGGTTGGGGGGACAGCAGCGGAGCACAACGCGGGGGTCAGTGACTGAGTGGGGGTAAGGAGGTTATTTGTGCATTGCAGGGCAGTGGCAGCAACAGAAGTTTGATTACATATGAGAAGTCGAATCAAATAAGTAATGATACTGAGGATAATGAAAGCTAGATTTCTCATGGTCAGAGAAGGGAGTTACAAATTTGGAAAGAGAGAAAATCGGAACACCCTGCAGAGCTGGATGGAACTGGAGATAGTGAAACAAATGCTAGGCTTTCAATATGCATAAATAGGCAGATATCTATCTGTACAGATACAGAAATCAATACAGATGTTAATGTGCATGCTCAAAGAAACTCTGAATAAAGACAGCCTCTGGGTTAGATTTCACTGAAGAAATAAAGTTCTGGCTGGGCTCGGTGGCTCAGCCTGGAATCCCAGCACTTTGGGAGGCCGAGGTGAGCGGATTGCCTGAGCCCGTGGGTTCGAGACCAGCCTGGGCAACTTGGCAAGACCGCATCTCTACAATAAATCAAAAGCATTAGCTGGGTGCAGTAGCACACGCCTATAGTTCTGGCTACTTGAAAGGCTGAGGCAGAAGGATCAGCAGAGCCCAGCAGTTTGACGCTGGGGTGGCTGTGAGCATGCCACTGGGGTGACTGTGAGCATGCCACTGCACTCCAGCCTAGGCAACGAAGTGAGACTCCAACTCAAAAATAAATAAATAAAGTTCTAGTTTAAGCATTCAGTTACCAGGATCCCTGGGTCCCTGGGACAACTGCTCCATTTCAATGTAAACGTGCAGATGTGAACAAAGAGTCTAGAAAGCTCTCCCTGCTGCATGCTGGCTGTCCTTGGTCTGACGGACAGTTGATGGAGTAGGCCCATTTTAGTTTTAAGCAAACAAGACTTTAAGGTGAATTTGCTTTTCTTTAAAAGACTACAATGACTAGCTACAGCTTTCATGTCTCCTCCCAGTAGTGCTGATATTTAAGTTTAGGCAAAACCATGCTGAGAACTTGAAGTCTCTCTCAAGAGTAACGGCTGTAAACTCCTAAGTTAGTTCCTTCTAGAAGGAAAATGACAAGAATTCCAGCTGAGGCCAACACAGCTGTGAGAAGAAGCTATGAATAGCAACGATCCTCAGCTTCCCATTGAGAAAATATGGAGACAGATTTAAAATACAAATGAACACAAAGCACTTGATATTCTGTGTAGCCCTCAAGAGATGTGGGAACTCCCTTAAACCACGACTCTCACAAAAAGCAGCAAGCCCAAATCGCCACCACGAGGTGGCCCACCCTGCCTTCTCCAAAGCCCCTGAAAGGGCCATGAGCTTGAAATCTGTCTCTACTTTTTTGTTTGCTTTTGGCCCCTTTTTAAGGGGGGTTAGGGGACTAATCTTTTTAAGAAGTAACACAACCACTGTAGGGACCAACTGCAGCCTGGCAGAGAACTGGAGAGCGTTGGCCCCAGCTGAGTTGCAAAAATCCACCCACTGGCCAGCAGAGGGAGGACCATGGCCTACGCATCCTAGACCTTTCTGTGCTACCCTACAGGCAAACTGGGTACTCTTACCGGGTTATTGAACCACAGCAACTTCAGAAACTAACTAAAATCTCCAAGAATCTAAAGATCTTAATTTCAGTCATTATAAGTAAAAAGTAGAGAGATTAGATTACTAGGAAAATGTCACCAATTTAACAGTTGAAGTCTCAAACATTCAGAAAAGGATTTTTACTGTTCAGAGTGGTTTGTTCTCCTTTGTTCTGTTTCCACTAAATCTTTTCTTTTTAGTGTTTTCTTCCCTGGATTAAATCTGAAGAGAACTAAGAGTCCTAAACCAACATAAGAGAGTTAGTTATATTAGAGAGTTTAGAAAGTAGAGACAGAGTGGTCTCAAGAAAGGCGCACTTGAGAAGAGGCCCAGGGCAGCCAAGACAGACCCATCCTCACGTGCTCACTCTGCCTCACCCAGAGTTTCTCCACCGCAGCACCGCTAACACGTGGACCCAATAATTCTTTGTTGTAGGGGACTGCCCTGTGAAGGAAAGAGTGAACACATACAGGCTGATTGGTATCCTTTGAAAGCTTGCTTACAAGTTGGGTTTTTGGTTGGCATCTAGAAGTCTGGATTTGGGGAGGGTCCTCATCATCTCCAGAACTAAATGCAGCTCACTGTGGCCAAACTGCTTGCACAAACAACATGGTTTATGCTGAGCATGTGCTTTCCTTCCGGGCATCTGAAAGTCTGGCATATGCCAGGCAGGAAAAGCCCTGGGTGCTGAGTCTCTGACAAACTTCCCTGGTTGACATTTCACAAGTGTTGTCACAACTTGTTGCTGGGGGAACTAAGCATGTTTTGTGTGACTCCACTGGAAGCTTATGCCTGGACACTCTAGGCCTCATTTATTGAACCTTTTGTCTCTGCTGACTATGCTTTTCAACCTTGTGATGTAAAAAGTCACAGCCATGAGTGCAATTATATGCTGAGTCCTGTGTGTCCCCCTGGAAAACTACAGAAACAAGAGGTAGTCTTGGGGACCTCCTGACACATCCCTGCTGTCACAACAGTCAAAAATGTCTATGTATTGCCAAATGTCCTCTGAGGGACAAAATCACTCCCTTCTCCTGTTGAGAACCACCAGTCTAGCCCAATAGTTGGTCCAAATAATACTTCAAGAAAGCTTCAACTTCAAGTGAAATGAACTGATTTAAATAACTTCCAGGATAACCTCAGGAAAAAAAGGGTTAAAAAAATTTTTCTTAATCACATAACTTATGTAAGTGTTCACAGAAGCAGCAAGCAGAGGAATAACCCTTTTCTCTATTTATCACTGTCATTGATACCTTGTGTCACATAAGCATGCCAAGTCAAGATCCTAGGCATGGGACAGAAACTTATACCACCCCAAAGGGTACCAGCTGGGCTCACACATATCACTCTTTCCCAATTTATGAAAATCTAACCTCAAAACAGGGCCCTGAACTATATTAGTTTCTCAGTCTATGAGTTCTGTATAAGAATTATTTTTGTATTTTCATCTTATAATAAGCAAAAGAATTAGTACAGAGGCATATTTTTGCTCATATTTAGTGATGAATATTGCCAAGAAAGTTAATCTCCAAGTTTATATTAATGTGCTAATGAGATGAGAGGAAGATTTAAATGTAAATCATATAAAACAAGTATAGTAAAATGCAAATCAACTCTAGGTGGGGTAAACATATATTCATTTTGCTGCCTACCTAAAAATTTTCATAATAAGTTGTTGGGAAAAAATGTGAATCATGTACCATATGAAGATAAATAACGTCACAATTATTATATAAAGTGAAGCTTCCTAGTTGTTCAAATAGAAAATGTGATAAGGAAAAGTACATCATCACCCAGCATGCAACAGTACCGGCACGCCAAACCCAACGAACCTGTAATGATCTTCATATTCACCTTAAAGTTATAATTCCATTTCAAAGAAACAGCCTCCACTATCACATAAATTATATCCATCTCCATGTTAATAGTTTTGTAGATGTATTTTTATTTAACTTATAAATTTATTTTAGTGTGGTAGTTATATAAGCACAAGGAATCTAGATTGTCTTTTATTTATATTTACTCAAGTTACACTTTAACAAAATAATTCATTAAAATGCAAGGGATCTTGACTAGTCAGAAAAACTTTGGAGAAGAAGAACAAAGATGGAAGACTCACATTTACTTATTTCAAAACTTAATACAAACCTACAGTAGTCAAGACAGTGTTGTATTGGCATAAGGACAGACATATAGACCAATGGATTCAAACTGAGAATTCAAAAATAAACCCATATATCTATGGTCAATTGGTTTTCAACAAGGTTACCAACACCATTCAATAGTCTTTCTAAATAGTGCTAGCTGAGACAACTCGATATTCACAAGCAAATGAATGAAGTTGGACCCCTACCTTAAACCACATACAAAAATTAACTCAAAATGAACTACAAACTATAAAACTCACAGAAGAAAACATAAGTGTAAAACTTCATAGCTTGGGATTAGGCAATGGTTTCTTAAATATGTCACCAAAATGTGAACCAAAGGAAAAAATAGATAAATTTGACTTAAAAGAAGAACTTTTGTGTATTAAAGGGCACTATCAAGAAAATGAAAAGCAACCTACAGAATGGGAGAAAGTTTCTGCAAATCTTATATCTGATGAAAGTCTAACATCTGGAATATATAAAGAATTTTTATAGCTCTACAATAAAATGACAACTCAATTTAAAAATGGGGTAAATAATCTCAATAGATATTTCTCCAAAGAAGTGCAATAGATGACCGATAAGAGCATGGAAAGATACTCAACATTATTAGTCACTAGGGAAATGCAAATCACAACCACAATGAAACATCCACAAGCATGGCTAGAATCAAAAACACAGACAATAACAAGTGTTGGCAAGGATGTGGAGAAACTGGAACCTTCATACACAGGCTGATGGGTATGTAAAAAAAAAAAAAAATGGTGCAGCCACTTTGGAAAACAACCTGGCAGTTCTTCAGAAAGTTAAAGTTTCCGTACAACCCAAAGATTTCACTCCTAGGTATTTACTCAAGAGAACTGAAAATACAGGTTTACACAAAAAGCTGTACACAAATTTCATAACAGCATTATTCACAATAGCTAAAACGTGGAAATAACCCAAATTTCCATCGACTGACAAACAGATGAACAAAATGCAGTATATACATATGATGAAATATTATTCAGCCAAAAAGTAGTAAAGTACTGATGCCATACTTTATCAATAAACCTTGAAAACATTATGTTATATGAAAGAAGACAGACAAAAAAGGCCATTTATACTTACAGGAAATGTCTAGAATAGGCAAATCCATAGAGAAAGAAAGTCAATTTTTTTTTTGAGTTAGAGCCTCACTCTGTCACCCAGGCTGGAGTGCAGTGGCATGCTCACGGTCATCCCAGCATCGACCTGTTGGGCTCCACTGATCCTTCCACCTCAGTCTTCCAAGTAGCCAGAACTTCCATGCCCGGTTAATTTTTTATTTATTGTGGAGACAAGGTCTCGCCAAGTTGCCTGGGTGGGTCTCGAACCCATGGGCTCAAGCAATCCACTGTCTCAGCCTCCCTAAGTGCTATGATTATACGCTGAGCTACCTAGCCCCGCCAGACAAAATGTAGATTAATGATTGTTGCTGGAGGCAGAGATGAGGGGTGGCTGCTAACAGGTATTTACTTTTGGAGTGATGAAAACGTTCTGGAATCAGGAAGTTGTGCTGATGATGGTTACACAACTCTGTAAATATACTAAAACCCCAAAATTGCAGTATATGAATTAATCTCTACTTTAAAAATAAAGTCAGTCAACTCTGGGAGTCCACCAAGGGAGAAAACTCCAGGAAGATAATCTAGGTAGCAGGTTTTTACCCCATTCAGTCTTGCCTTGCACTTGCCTGAGGGTAGAGGGGAAAAATATCTCCAGCTCACCTAGGCGATACACGTCATCTAAATAACACAACTGCTCAACAAGTGGATAATGCAAGCTAATGTGACCCCAGGCCACACAGTAGAGCATACACACAGGAGAGAGGTGTCTTCTCCAGAGAAAAGTTCCCCGACTTCTCCAAGAGTCCACAAAGGTCTCTAGGGGAAAGTCTGGGCTGCTCAGAAAATGGTCTACTGTTCTCCAAGCAAGCCATTTCCCTGAGACCCATTGCTAAAACCAAATACTATATGTAGGTTTTTAAATCTCACCTGGTATGCTACTTTTAGTGCCAATTTACAAATCAGTCCCCTTCGTATCTGAGTACTTCTCACACAAGTAAAGGAAGCTTTTATCATCACCATGTTTGCCTGAAGCTCATTGTGTTTCTCTTCATGAAACAGCACAACTTCACTGTGATTCTCGTCATGAGACAACAACCCCCTCTCATCGCTGCCTTCAGCAACAATCATTAATCTACTTTCTGTCTGGCCGGGCTCAGTGGCCCAGTTTGTAATCCCAAATCCAGACTACAGCAAAGAAGGTGAGATGAAAAGCCCTCCACGTCCATGTTGTCAGCCCTTTTCATCTATACCCTCCCATATTAAAACATGAGTCGACGATGTGCCAGACAGTGAGGACAGGGTAGTCAAGAAACAGCCAGGAGAGGTGGCACACATTTGTAGCCCTAGCTACTTGGGAGGCTGAGGCAGGAGGATGGACAGGAATTCGAGGCCAGCCTGAGCAACATAGTGAGACCGTATCAACAACAACAACAACAAACCTGGCCTCAGCTTCGCTGCACTTACAAAATCCAAAACCCAAGGAAGGCGGACTTTGAGCAAGTTATCCCAACAGGGAGGACATTACGAGTGTAACACTAGGAGACAGGCAGGCCACGACAGGAGTATAAAGTCAAGATGTGGGTGGGGGCCAAGAAAGCTGCCCTCTGCCCACCCGAGCAGGTGGTTAGGTTGAAACCTGGCGCAGGCAGGACATCGGAGATGAGGAAAACGGTCTCCAGGCGGTGGACAGTGTTTGCAGTCCAGAAAGACTAAGAGAGCAACGCTTGTTCCAAGAACCAAAAGAAAAGCTCTCAGAGGCGAGCCTGGAGGTGGAGACGGTGACCATATGACAACCTTGGAAGACCTCGTAGGGAGCCTGGGCTTCAATCTAAGGACAACGTGAAGCCGAGGATCAGACTGGAGGGCAGCAATGCCAGAGTCAGGGAACGTCAGCAGGAAGTTGGCTTAGCAATCCCCCGGAGCCGTGACAGTGACCCAGCCGGGCAGAGGCACAAGAGGCAGGCGCAGACGAGCTAATAACTGCTCAGCAAGCAGGCCCAACAGGACTTGTTGTTTTGATGCACAAAGTAAAGGAGAGGGAGGAGATCAGGAAATTACACAGACTTCTGGCTGGAAAATGGTGGACAGCACTGTGAACTGACTGACAGAGGGACATATAGGGTAAACAATACAGGGCGGGGGGGCAGGGAAGGTGGTGGCCTCAAAGACCCTGGCCTGTAGCTGACGCTCTGGCTGCTGTGACACCCACCACCCTACTCACCTTAGTCCTTTATCTGGGAGCTCCACCTCGGCCAACAGGGGGCTGTAGACGGGAATGCTGACATCATAGCCCTGTCGGTAAGTCCACATAGAAAAGTCACCACCAGCCAACAGGGTCCTGAAAGCAAAGGATTTTATCAGACGATGAGAAACAAAGAAGGTCTTCATTCTCAGACGTTCTGTGGAAAGAGACAGGAATCACTGAGTCTTAATAATACTATCAACAACAGCTAATGCTTACCAAGTCACCTCTCTATAAGGACACTTGCGCTAACCACTTTGCACTCACACATCTCTCGGACGTCAGCTGCCTACTATCCCTGAACCACCAGTCTCCCCCAGGTCCGTAATCAGTCATTCCTCACTTCCTGCTTCTTGAAACACATCTTAGCCCAGAGGACACCCTAAGGACAGCCCCTGTGCTACCTCATTCAGGTCCCATTCTCCCCTCCCAAGCAATGCTTTATTAAGCACATTTACAATAACAGGATGGTAACAGATCTGCATAGGACAACTAGCTGGGGCAGTCCTTTACCAACCCACTGGCTAGACTCTCAGGAGACAACGGCCAGGGAAGTAGCGGTGGCCGGGAACTATCATGTCTCACGTGGCACACCCCCCACCTCTCTCCAATCCCTGCCCCAAGTGGCTCTTTCCACTGGTGTCCCTGAGCTGCATGTCAATCACGGAGCCCCTACCAGCTCTCCCTGTCCCTTCCAGCTCCTCAGTCTTATTCACCCAATTCCCCACACAGGAAACAGAATCTGGAATCGGACTGTTACCGCTTCTCTTGCAGTTTGCTTGAACTAGCTTGTATTATCCTTAATTAGAAAACAGTGGCCACATTGTTGTCATCGGATCCAGCAAGTGGTCCAATGGCACTTCATCAGTGAAAGGAAGCAGGTACATCTCACACCAACTTTTACTGTTACTCTGTCCCTAGAGTCCCAAGCCCATCGAAATCACTTTCTGGGGCAGAGATTTGCCTGTTGCACACTCTGCACGGTCTGAGCCAAAATGTCTGAACTGAGAACCACAGTTTTTACAATAGCAATTGCTACCAAATTCCCCCCACCCCACCCTGATGACAACCTACATTCTCATCTAACATGACCAGTTTAACCTCAAAGATTTTCAAACCACCCCTGGAAATCCCACTGTTTGTTTAAGTTTTATGAAACCAAAAACTGGTGAGTGAGGTAATATGCAGGCTAAAAACCTCTCCAGCTGCCAGTCCGCTATGTAAAATGTAACAACTATCCTCAGTACTGACATACAGTCTTATTTTTCCTGATTAGCATGCAGCACTGAATCCATCCAACATGCATTTGGGCGGGCTCCATGGCCATGATGGCAAGCAGGCTGTGGGCCCCATGGCCTGTGGGCAGAAAAGCAGCCATGGATCCAATCTCCAGGCACAAAGCAGGCCAGGTGAACAGGGCCATGGGTGATTAGGCTATCACAACCCCCAGCCCAGAGAAGGGAGTGTGTGTATGGAGAGAAAGGAAGCAGGTGGCTATCACGTCAACTTGCGCTGTTGCTCTGGTACTCCTGGGGCCTCTCAAGCTTGCTACTCTCTTCTGGGGGCTGAGGGCAAGGTTCTGCAGTGGCGGGAGGAAAGCAGCAACCGAAAGCAGGCCTTATGTTGGGGATCATCCACGTGCGATCTCTGCTGTGATCTCAAAAAAGCCACGGCTGCAATCAGGCAAGCTGGTCTCACACCGGCCCTGCTACCAACAGGGCTTTCAGCTTTAAGTCTCCACATCTCCTTCTGTTGAGGTTTCCGTTAAATGATCATGGAGAAAATAAAGCAAGCAGCCCTTGCGTCACAGAACATGTGTTTTACATTGACCGAAAAGTGAATTTCTAAGCAACACATTCTGTTTTGGCATCATGCATCCCAAAATCAGAGATCTGCGAGAGACTGAACAGAAAACCTGCAGCTAAAGAAGTATTAATATTACAATCCCACGTGGGTCAAGCCAGGTATTACATCACGTGAGGTGTTCCCCTGTATTCCTGGCACCCTGCAGGACTTCCTAACTCCAGGCCACCACCCCTGTCACCGAGTCTTCCTCCCCACAGCCTCAGAGGCCCCGCCATACATTCCCCACTCAGCCCCAAGCTTCCCTGCAGTTCTTCCCCTCCGCCTGCCTGAGCGTTGGCCGTGCCCACACACAGAAAGGCCACACGTGCATCCTTTGCTTCCCTTAAACCACGCATGTCATCAGGCCTGAATATTCCTCAAATACAAAGCATCAGGTTCTGCAAAAAACAGACAAAGCAAAGCTGTCCTAGTCTACTGGTCATCTTCATTAGTTCACTGAGTCAAACTGTAAAACAGTATTTATGAGACAGGTAAATGTGCAATGGCTAGACGTGTGGTGAATATTTGGTGATATCAAAGAGTTACTGTCCATCTTCTTAGGTGTAATAATCATATTATAGTTATGTTCTTTTTTTTTTTGAGTTGAAGTCTCACTCTGTCGCCCAGACCGGAGTGCAGTGGCCGCTCTTGGCCACCGCAGCCTCGACCTGCTGGGCTCCGGCAATCCTTTCCGCCTC